GTAAAACTTTCAGAGTATGTTGAGAAGTGCTAGGCGACAACTCCTTTCAAATCTTGCTGCAAACGGATGTCAAACGAGAGAGATCCAATAAAATCTCTCTCTCTGGATGCGCAGAAAACAGAAAAAAAGGTTCCTGGAAAGATCAAAACAGTCCAAGACCAATTGGCAGAGATGCAAGTTCTCAATGGATCAAGAAAACAAGGTGGATCAAAGAGAAAGAAGATCAAAGGGCAGCCTGCTCTAATACCATGTGAACCAAATTGAGAGCAAGAAGAAAACAGAATTAGGGGTGTCTAGAATAGTTGACCCCCACTCTAAAGAGTCTCTTTTATATTAAAGAGATAAACGATGTGTACAGTTACAAGAATGCCCTTACAGGGCTGAATGATAAAAAGAACAAATAAAATAATATGAATACGATACTGTACAACAAGGACTACTCTAATAGTGTACATCAAGGTATATCTTCACAGGTCTACAATCATGGTCACATATCTTCCTCTGGCTTAGTTTCACTTTTCCACACCACTCCCCAATCCACTTGCCTAGCACCATCGACCACTCTTTGCAACCATAACAAAGTTCTATCGTTAACAACGATTGTACCTTAGCTGCTTTCCCTTATCTTCAAACTGGTTCTTCTTCCTTCCTTGCATATTTCTAGTAGGAAGCTCTTGACTTCAATGTCCAGTCTAGCTCTCCAATGTGATGTTCGCTGAAACCTTTCCACTCTCATTCCTCTTTTGTGATAAACAGTGGAATTTTCTATAGACATGAACACAATCTCAAAAGCATTGCTCCATTTTTCATTAGAGAAATGTTTGACAAAGAGTCATTTAATAGCCAAGGGAGTGGCTATCACAAATCTGACTTCCCACTCAGTATGGGGATGCCCCACTAATTTCCATATGTTTTTTATCATTGAAAGCAAAACATGATAGGATCTCCTACAACCTTTTTGATGATACATCACCACATTAGGATCTCCTTCTCTTACCAAATTTCTTAGGGTTAAAAACTTTAGCCACACAAATTCCTTGCACAATTGCTGTTATCTCCACTAATATGGAATTACCTTGGCCAGGAGGTCTTGAGAAATATCGCTAGTATGTTCCCATAGGAGTCCGTAAAGGTTCCTTCTATGCCCGAAGGTCATGGATTGCCTCTGCTACAGCTATCAAAGTTCATCATCATTGCACTCTCTATGGGTGGAGGCTGTTAGGCATGGAAAATGAATTTTTTATTTTTTATTTTTTATGAGAAGTTGCCACCAAACCTAGCTTTTAACAATATCTTCAATAGAGAGTTTCAAAAAACCTTGATGTAACCCAATGTGCCACCCTTATTGCAATGCCATTAACAATGGTGCATTTATTTATTTTTTTGTTCTTGGTCCTGTTATAAAAAACTTGTTTGTAGGGTATTACCATCACGTTTGTATTTGGTCTGTCCTCTTAATAAAGGGCATTTTTGTAGTTGTAAATATGTTTTCCCTAATCAATAAAACATTGCCCTTTGGGGGGTGGGGTATGTTAATCTATGTGAGAGAGAGAAGACAGGGAGAAAGCCAAGAGTTTAGATCTGTTAGGGTTGATCAATATGATTGAACCAACCTAGAAAGAAAGAATTTATATTAAGATGTGGATGGACAAGATTTTTCTTACAAAAGAAATAAAGGTACAGTGTTCTACAAGATAGAACACTACTGTACATGCTTACTAGTTTACAATAAAGAAAAATTAAAATTACAGAACTACCTGTTGTACAGGAAGAAGAGAGGAGAGAAGAGACAAGAGGACTGAGAGCCTCTAAAAGATACTGCATGCCGGCACAGTATGTTATATTTATACTAGGGCGACAACAATTAAACATAAAGAGAAGTAAAAGTACAATAGTACCCCTGCGGTACTATACATATGAAAAATAACATCTGTTAACACTACCCTCTATCTTCTCTACACTCTCCCTCAAATTGATGTTAGGGAACAAGCATTAGTTTGTCCATAAGAAAATTATGCTGGGCTTTGGTCATAGCTTTGCTGAAGAGATCTGCAAGCTACAATCCTGAGGAGACATGTGGGAGAGAGATGTGACCCGCAAGAAGAAGGTTACGAATGAAGTGACAATCCACCTCAATATGTTTAGTATGCTCATGAAATACCTGGTTGGATGCAATCTTGATGTGATTGCACTCATGTCAGCAAACAAAGGGATGGTGGATGAGTGATCAATGTCCATATTATGAAGTAGAGCCTTGAGCCAAACTATTTCACTACATACAGAGGACATTGCTCTATACTCTACTTCAGTAGATGACTTGGAAACCGTTTGTTGTTTCTTGCATTTCCAAAAAATCAGAGAATCACCACAAAATATACACCAGCCAATAGTCGAACGACAAGTGTCAGGGCAACTTGCCCAATTAGCATATGCATAAGCTCGGAGCTGAGTAAAGGAAGAAGATGAGAAAAATAAGCCATGAGACAACGTTCCTTTGACATAACGAATGATCCAGAGAACTGCAGAAAAATGGGGCTGATGTGGAGCAGATACAAACTGACTCACGAGCTGGACAGCATAAGAAATATCCAGTCTAGTCATAGTCAAGTAGATAAACTACCTACAAGCTATCGATATAAAGTAGCATAAGGAAGGAGCTCACCCTCATCCTTATTCAACTTACGGTTGAGCTCCAAAGGTGTACCCATTTGTTCACTATTAGTCAAATGAGCTAGTGCAACTAAATCAGAGGCATATTTCTGGTGGTTGACAAAATAACCTGAGGACATCACTGAATTTCAAGGCCAAGAAAATAGGTGATTGCCCCAAGGTCTTTCATTTTGAAGGAGTTGCTGAGAAGGAGCTTCAAGTTATTAATACCATCCATATCATCTCCGGTGATAAGGATATCATCAACAAATACTAGGAGGAGAGTCAACCCTTGTGCTTGCTTGAGGGTAAAAAGAGAGTAATCTGAAGCACTTTACTGAAAACCAACCTCCAACACCACTGTACAGAAGCGGTCAAACCAAGCTTGTGGAGCTTGTTTAAGACCGTATAATGATTTCTTTAGTTTACACACCAAAAGAGGATTCTCACAGTATCCAGGAGGTGGTTTCATATAGACTGTTTCTTGTAAATGCCCATGGAGGAAGGCATTCTTGACATCCATTTGATGAACTGTCCATTGTCCACAAAACAACCTGTGTATTCTCAGTTTTCCATTGTTTCAGTCCTTTGACGTCACTAGCATTGGGTATGGATGTGGAACTATCAATATAGCCCCACATACCCTTTCCTTCAACAAAATATTGGAAGTGAAACTTCCAAAGTGCATAGTTGCTTCCATCAAATTTGACTAAGATAATTTCACTCTTTTCAAGACCCATGTTGAGTAAAACAAAACGCAAAACTAGCCAAAGTGAGCAATACAAATTGAGAACCAATTGAAGAAAGTCAAAAAATAAGAGAAGAAACCTCTTATAGTCGAGAGAAGGTGTCCAAAGCACAGCAAGACTGAGATCTGAAAGCACAATCCAAAAAAGGAAAGACTGATTGCCGCTGCCTAGAAGAGATGTATAGATCTCTGTCAATCCTTCTCCGAACTCGATGAAACATTTAGAATATGCAGAAAAGGGCCAAGTGGCACTTCCTTTCAAGTTTTACCACAAAAGGCGGCCTTTCAAGAGAGATCCAATGAGATTTCTCTTGCTGGTTGCATAGAACAAAGAAGACTGGTTCTTGGATTGATCAAAACAATGCAGAACCAATCTCAGAAGAGAAGAGACCTCAAACAGTCCAAAGGAAAAGGAGATGAATCAGAGAAAACCCTCAAACCCATGTTAATCTGTGTGAGAGAGAGAATACAGGGAGAAAGCCAAGAGTTCAGATCTGTTAGGGTTGATTAGTATGATCGAACCAACCTAGAAAGAAAGAATTTATATTAAGAAGTGAATGGACAAGATTGTCCTTACAAAAGAAATAAATGTACAGTGCTGTACAAGACAGAACACTAATGTACATGCTTACTAGTTTACAATAAAGAAAAATTAAAATTACAGAACTACCCTCCATCTTCTCTACAGGGTATTCACATGGTATCAGAGACATGAAGATTTCATCTGCACTTGAAAAACAAGAAGTCTCTTGTATTGGTTACTCTTTCTCTCTCCAGCAGCTTCTTGAACCAGGTATTGTGGGAGTTTTGAATCAGTATGTAACCAAGTTTCAGATGGATGTTTAATCTAAGGTATTTTGAGGGATGTAATACATATTTTTCTTGGATTTTTTGATCTCTTTCTGGATCTGAAAGTTCTGATACTTAGGTAAGCAAGAAATTAATTTTTTTTGCTGAATAGCAAGAAATTGGAATTAAAGAGGGACAGTTCTGATCTTCCCTCTTTTTTCTTTAATCTGGCAGAGTTTGGGCAAGGGAACCTAGATTCCCCTTCCATTTTCAGGGACCTTTTGGACTGTTAGGAATTCTGTTCATTAGTCTTTGGTAAAGGGGTATATCAGATTCTCTGTGTTTCTCCTGGTCTTTATTACTTAGTCATCTAGGAGATGCCTGGTTCGTTAGTTTTTAGGACCTTTGTGTTCTGAAAGAGAGTACATGATCTCTCTAATCATGTTAAATTTCATGCATTATATTGTGTCATTTTTCTTTTGTTCTCTTCTGTTCCTTTTGAGAGAATAATTGGTCTTATATTTTGTTTGTAATTCTGTAAGCTTAGGTTCACAAACATGAGATGTCTGGTTCCTTAGTTTTTTAGGACCTTTGTGTTCTGAAAGAGGGTATATGATCTCTCTAATCATGCTAATTCCATGCATCATAGTGTGTCATTTTTCTTTTGTTCTTTCTGTTCCTTTTGAGAGAATAGTTGGTCTTATATTTTGTTTGTAATTCTGTAAGCTTAGGTTCACAAACATGGTTTAAATGTTATGATATACCTGTTTGCTCCACTTATTTTGTTCCTACTTCTATGTTACCATTCTTGCAGGAATTTGGATAGGAACTACTTCACAGGATCCATGCCTACTTTCCTCGGCCAGTTATCAGCAATGCAAAACTTGTGAGTCATTTTTTTAAGAAGAAAATTTTACACGGTGAAATTCACTCTATAACATTAGAAAGAGTTAAAAGAAAGATGTTAAAGTACATATTTTTCAATTTAGCATGCGTGTGGTGAGCTTCCAAGTGCTTCAAATATTGAAGATGTAACCACATTTCCTTTTTCTCTCATTTTAAAGATAATGGTTAAGAGACATGATCTTCATTTACTCTTACAAAAAATTTTGATGGTTTTCATCTCCAGGAAATTTCAACATGATAACCTGGATATGTAATTTTGAGCAGTGGTGGAATATATACTTTTTGAAAATATATTTGGCCTTAGGATATTTCGGAGAAATATCATTAGCACTACTCCTGTTCATTCCTTTAGCGGATTTTTTTTCTCAAATCTTCCTTTAGGATTTCGATCAAAGACTAGAAAATGAAACAAAACGAGGTTTCTGATCCTGCCCATCACTTCCCCTAAATCCTGTATCCTTGGTTGTGTCATGTAATGTAGATGTCTTGAGTCTCAGCTTTCTCTTCATATAACTCTCCTCCCTCCCCAATGGAGAAGTTGAACGGTTGACCATGTACTTTTTTGTGTTTTCTGGGGGTGGCAAGGTGATTTGGTTGTTTCATATTGTATGTGGGCTTTAAGCTGTAGAATTCACTTAGTTGAGTCATATTAAAATGGTATATAGATACTTTTTTTTTTCCCAGGGATGTTTTGATATGATAAAAGGTTGATCCTAGTCATTATGAAATACTTAAACCTGAGGTCAATCTATGTAGCTAAGAAGAAACTGAAGAGTGGAGGCAACAAGAAGCTGATAGAAGTTGAGGAAAGCAGCTGAAGGAGGTCAACAAGTTGATGACAAGCAGCTGACAAATGTTACTTGCTTGTGAAGATATTAGTCTGTCCAAGTGTTTATATACTCTCTGCTCTAATCTTTGAGATAATAAAATTTGAGTACTTGAGTCCATGACTTCGGTGGCTGATTTGTAAACACAGAGTTGTTCTAGTTTTTCCTCTCACTCTGCTCTCATTCCCTCTCTCTAGTTTCCTTATTTCTACAGACGTATCACCCTAAAGAAGATATTTTAAGTCTTGGAAAAAGTGGATTAATCTATAAATGGACTAGAAATTTGTTCATAAGCTATTACCCAGATATAGGGGTGCAAGTTAGATGCCTGATCAGAAGAATTTACATTGCATTGGGCCTAGTTCATTCATATTTTAACCACTACTCAACCCAAGCCCACCCAAGTTGTATCCCTATCCAATGCAAATAGGACATGGGTGAAAAAGGTTTCGTATATGAAATCTACATTGAAAATTTAAGTATTTTGCATGATAAGACACTTATGTTAAGGTATCCTGGTATCATTGTGCAAGAGCCATGGATATGCTTGACACCATTGGCTAGCATGAATGGGTATGCAAAGCAGTCACCCTGTGAAACAGTCTCATATGCACCCTGATGTGTGAAACAGTACTACAGTTAACAGCATATGGCTGGATTGATGTTGGGGAACACGCTTGGACCTGAGAGAGATGCTTGGTCCAGTACCAAGTTTCCTTGTTCCTTTCTTGTACCCACTTGTGCTGATCTGGCATAATTAATTGAAATACCTTTTTGACAAAAGATATTCCTACACTAATCATGTCCTTGCTTTTCTCATGACACCCTAAAGGCGGGAGAAGAGCAACTATAGAAAAGGGTTAATTGAGAAACTTTGGAGGCAAGAGTTTGTATCTGACTTCGAACCCTTAGAATATTAAGAATACTCAGATACTTGCAGAAGTATCAGAGCCTTCATCACCACTTTCCTTTCTCAGAGGAGGATCACATTCTCCTCCCCTATCTCTCAGTTCAGCAAAGCCCTAACTACCCCATTCTCCAGATCAGGAGTCTCTGCCTTTTCTCCCGATCCAATCTCATCACTACCTGCAGCTAACTTTCAGAAACTCCACAGACCATTGCTACTTCATCACCTTACATTAAGAACCTCTGGTTGTTTTTCTGATCTCAACCCTTTCCAGCTCCAATCTCATCACTACCTGCAACATTCACTCCATCACCTTACACATTGTTCATTACTAAAAACTTCAAGTTTTCACAAATCCTTGCTTGAAACATTAATTTTTGTGAATTTTCTATAGTTTTTATTTATGACCTGTATTTGACCATACTTAGACAATTTTCCATCTTGGTTCTGCATTAAATTGATACTAGAGAACTTGTTCGTTAAACTCCACAACCACCTTATGTCAATTTGGTATTAAGAAATTATTCCTACATCTCTCTCTCTCTTCCCTCCCTCCCTCCCAACCCTGAATCCCATTTATTATTTGATACTAATAACTGGCTGGACCAAACCAAACCTAAGTCATGTTCCATTTATTTGATTGTGTAATATTTTATAATATTCTTTTCATTCATTTGCTCTATCTCTCTCTCTCTCTCTTACACTCTCTTATTTTAAGTTCACATGGTGTGACTTAATGTCTTAAAATAGATAACAGGTCAATTCTTACCTGCTATCCCTTGGGGCTTAGCATGCTAGGCATGATAGCCCAAGCTGGCTTAGTTCTCTTTATTTCTTATGCTTGGTTAGACCTGTTTACCTTTTTCTTGTGGGTATGGACCTAGGGAATGCATTAATAACAAATCAAAGCAGGTTTTAAAAAAATTGAAAAAGACAAGGGAATTAGATGAGGAGGCCTTGAGTGCTTCAGAGGAGGATAGAAAAGAGAGATGGAAGATTAAGAGAGAATTAGAGGGCATCTTGAGGAAAGAAGAGATATCTTGGAGGCAAAAATCCAGGTGCAAATGGCTAGTGGAAGGGGATGGCAATACAAAAGTAAAAAAATGGCAATACAAAATTCTTCTATTCCTTGGCAAGTGGGAGAAGGAAAAAAAATCATTTACAATTTAGTGGTTGGGGTAGTACCAATAGCTAAAGTAGCAGTTTGGGAAGTGGAGGAAGGGGATAGAGAAACAAAATGATTTGTAGACCCAGTCAGATGGACTGAGGCTCCAGAATTTATAACCCAAGATCTAGAAGAAGATGTAAGACAAGTTATACTTGACTTAGTTAGGGTAGTGAAGATAGATGAAGTTTTTCATACTCTTCATGGGTAATGGATATCATCTCCTTCTCCTTTCCAGAATTCAAGGCAGAGGAGTCATTTTTTTTTGAAGAATAAAAATAAAATTTCCTGAGAAAAGGAAAAAGAACACAATAAGAAGGTGATAAGACATCACCCGAAGAGGAAACACACCCAAAGAACTCAACAAAGACCTCAAAAAGCCCCATACTAAAACCCAAAAAACCACTTAAGTAACAAAACTTTAAGATTCACCCAATCAACCTCAAGCAAAGACGAGGGAAAAAACCCAAGAGGAATCCCCGTGAAAGCATATACAACCAACACAACCTCTGATAAAAAACGCAATCCCTCCTTGCACAACAACTGAGGCCTTGATCTTCCTCCATGAGCTCATCCTCCTGGCTTGGATCATCTTTGTCCCAAATCTTGTCTCCTTCCTGATGAACTTTTTTGTTCAACTTCTCTTCCCATCTCCTCCTTTCAAACTCCTCAAAGACTCTTCTAGCAAACTCCTCACCACCCCAGAAAAACAAACCCAGGCTCTTACCAATCATGACCTCTCTATCCACCTATTTCCGGAGAGCCACACACCCTGATCTAGTGTCATTGCCATCATTATTTTTCATCATCCCACTCGGACCAGAATAAGAGTCAAGACCACTCATTTTGTTCTCCTGTTTCTTCTTACTCAAAGCAGAGTCAACACCACTCATTTAGGCAGTCATCAAGGTTCACACCTGTTCCACCAATAATCCTCTGCTTACTGCTCTTATCATACTTGGTGATCACCCGAATCCACCTTTCTCCCTTTCTCTTTCTAATTCCAGACGAAACACTTCTATTCAGTGTCCCACTTCTTTTGAAATTTGGTCTGTTAAGACCTAAGACCTTTCTCTTGTTAATCTATCCTCCCTGCTCTGATTTTTCTTCCTTCCATTAAATAGATCAATGCTGCAAGCTTGAGCTTCATTTGAAACTCCAATTGGACGAGATGCAAACTTTAGGCAAGTACCTTGAACTAAGGAAGATGGTGATAGATGTGAATCACAATCTTTAATGAGACCCACTTGGCCATGTAATACTTCACACGGAACCAGTTAAGCCACATGCTCAGAACCTCGAGACATCCTGTTGGGTCACTCAAAGGCCTTTCCATTCGAGTCACGCGATTATTTAAATAATCACCTAACCTGATTTAGTTGTATGACAGTCCTCTCCAACTAAAGCACAATTGGCCCATGTAGATGGTGGGTCATGTAAATCATAACTGAAGTTTGTTGTGTGTCCTTCACATCCAGAATGGACACACTCACTATACCACGTCCTCCAATGCCTTGACCTCTAACAGCCCCCTGCATCACTACCACCTCCATGACCATCTCTAACAATACCACCTTTGCCACACAGACCACCCATAGTTGTCAAGGCATCTAGGTGATTCTTAGTCGCTTAGTCTCCTAGGTGGGCACCTATGTGATGCCCAGGCCATAAGAATTTCATAAAATAAAAATACTAAATTTTTCTTAATTCCCTAGTTTTATATACCTTTCAACAGGAATATTAACTAAGAAAAGCATTTTCTTTTTTAAGAACATTATAAGTCTTTCAAAACATGACAAATCAACATATCCAGGACAAGGGTAGAGCTGCAGCAGCTGCTGTAGTATATAATCCCTTTACTTATATTCTTTATTCCCTTTTATTTTGTCCTTAAAACCCTTGGATCTTTTTAAATTTGAATAGTATAACTTTAAAACAACATACAAATGACATATGTAGTATATAATAGAATGTATCAGACCATTAGCATACATATTAGTAACATATGGCAATATGAATGATCAGTTATTTAAAAGGCGTGCCTAGGTGCATAGGCGAGGCATATTTTATGGTATGCGCTT